TGATTTTAAAAGAGGTGTTGTATGCTCCCTATAGTTTGCTCCAGCAAGGAGCCTGGCTGCCACCCATTGTACCAATTGAAACTTCCGGGCCATCTTCAAGAGTAGCCTCACATAGAGTGCATTGCAATAGTCCAGTCTGGATATAACCAAGACCTGGACCACCCTGGCCAAGTCAGACTTCACGAGGTATGGTCGCAGCTGGCACACAAGTTTACATTGTGCAAAGGCCCTCCTGACCACTGCCGACACCTGAGCATCAAGCGACAGCGTTGAGTCCAGGAGGACCCCAAGCTATGGACCAGCACCCTCAGGGGGAGTGTAGCCTCGTCGAGCACAGGTTGCCACTCAATACCCCAATCTGCCCCAAGACTGACCAGGAGGACACCTGTCTTGTCTTGGTTAAGCTTCAACCTGTTAGCCCTCATCCAATTCATCACAGCTGTCAGAAACTGGTTCAAGGTATGGGAGGCTTCATTGGAGTTTGGTGGAAATGTGTAGTAGAGTTGGGTGTCATCTGCGTACAGATGGCACCCAACTCCAAAACTCCAGATAACCTCACTGTTCTGTCATGCGCAGGGCCTGTAAATAATTGTCTTTAAACAGGATGTGCAACATTTGCCCAGCGGGAAGCCAGGGCCCCCGAAGAGAAGCTCTCAGAGGCTTTCCACCACAAATAGTCTTTAGATGGCTTGTGAAGTATAACAAAGTCTTTTATTAATGAACAATCAAACAGAAATTTCTCTTGTCTTCAGTAAAGATAAACAAATGACTCCAGGCTTTTATGCAACTGGTGGCTTCCTAAACTTGCTCACGAAGGACAGGCAACTGTCTTCAATAACTTCGTCTTTACTTTAAAGGAAAGACCTCTTTTTAACTTCTCCCAGGCTGACCGTAATCTAACCCTTACTGATGTGGGCTCCGCTACCGGGTCGAACTACTTATCGAACGCCGAGTGGACCTACAGGTAAAGGCTTAGATGTTCTCCAGCTGGAGTTCTTTGGTCTTTAGGGCTGTTTCCCTGGAAAGTCTTTGGAGACTCTTGAGAGTCTCCCCCAGAAATTCTTGAGGGTTGAAGCTTTTGTACAGGGGAAGCTTGCACATGTCCAGTACATTGGCTTTCCTTGCTGAGACTAACTAAAAAATGGCTCCCTTCCCTTCCCAATTGCCCTGAGCAAGGGGCAGAACCAAAACTTAACAATGATGGACAGGTGACTTGCCCTACGACTGCAACCAAAGGAAGCCACCTATCTGCAGAATCCCAAGAACCTTGGACTGCAAGCAAACATTTAATACAAAGCAAATAAAGTTGGAGCTCCTGGTACAGCTGTACCAGAACACTCACCCAGTGGTTTCAGGTAGATATTGAAAAGCATGGGGGATAGAATGGAACCTTGTGGGACCCCACAGGTCAAAGGCCATGGGTCTGAGCAGGTATCCCCCAGCTTCACCAACTAGGAGTGACCCTCCAAGATGGAGATTCACCCCATAAAAGATCATGCAAATATGCAAAGCAGTTAGTCTTAAGAGTATGACCACATTTATTTCCCCTTCCTTCCTTCCACCCATATTTATTGCTCTTTTTTATGGGACTCCATAGCCCATCATCCCCACCATCCCAGCCCCTTCATAGAATCCTTGAGTTGGAAGAGACCTGGTGGGCCATCCAGTCCAATCCCATTCTGCCAAGAAGCAGGAATATTACATTCAAAGAACCCCCAACAGATGGCCATCCAGCCTGTTTAAAAGCCTCCATAGAAGGAGCCTCCACCACATGCTGGGGCAGAGAGTTCCACTGCTGAACAGCTCTCACAGTCAGGAAGTTCTTCCTAATGTTCAGGTGGAATCTCCTTTCCTGTAGTTTCCTCACTGCAGCGATACAAATGCCTGTTGCAAAATCCTCCACAAAATAACACAGCCTAATTGAACTCCCCAAACACTCCCTTGCCCTTATTTGGTCCTTATCTGTTCCTGAGCGAAGAATGACAGAGAAAGAGAAAGGAGGAGAAAAGAGAAAGCGACAGCTGTTTTCCAAGCAAGATACGGGAGACAAAAAGACCCCCCAGAGAGAGCTAGAAAGAGAGATGGAGTGAAGGATAACGGAGGATAAGAAGCCGCACGCCACAAAGAACACCGGAGCATGGAAGCAGAAGGTGTTCGGGAATGCTATCGGATTTGGGGAGAGACAGAGGAAGAGAGAAAACAACGCCCCAGAGAGGAAGAAGGGAAGAGGTTGGCACTCTTCTTCCTGTTTTCCTCCCAGTTGCAATGCCCAGCATCCATCCATGGTAAGGATTCACTTGGCTGTGGGTTCTGGGATTTGGAGTGCAACACTGAGGGAAAGTATTCCCAAAAGGCATGGATCATTTATGTCCAAGGTAAATGAAGAATGCCACACATGTGGGTCTTTTCGATGCAAGAAATGAACTAGAGGAAGAGAGGAAAAGCAGGAAAGAGTGAAGAGGAGCACAAGAAGGAGATGAAAGAGAGGAAGGGTGCGAAGGGTTGAGGAGAATAAAAAAAAGAAAATGAGTGGAAAGGAGATGAAAGAGAGGAAGATAAGGAAGAGAGAAAAAGAGAAGAAGGATGGGAAGGATTGAGGAGGAGAATAAAAATAATAATGAGGGGGAGAAAGAAGGAGGATGGATAATGAAGAGAGGAAAGAGAAGAAAGTTGGAAAAGATTAAGGAGGATGGAAATGATTAAGAGGGGGGAAATAATGAGGAGAGGGAAGAGAGGAAGGATAGGAAGGATTGAGGAGGAGAAGAAAGAGGTGGAAGAGGAGAAATAAGAGAACAAGCATGAAAAGAGAAAGAAGAGGGAAAAGGATGGAAGAGGAGGAGGATGGGAAAGAGGAAGAAGAAGAGGAGAAGGAAGCAGAGGAGAAGAGGAAGGAGAAGAAGGATGGGAAGGATTGAGGAGGAGAATAGAAAAGAAAATGAGGTAAAAAAAGGATGGAAAGAATAAAGATAAGGAAGAGAGAAAAGAGAAGAAGGCTAGAAAAGATTAAGGAGGAGGAGGCGGATGAAGAAGGGGAAGATAATGAGAGGAAAGAGTAGAGCATAGGAAGGACTGAGGAGGAGAAGAAAGAGGTGGAAGAGGAGAAAGAAGAGGAAGAGAGCAAGCATGAAAAGAGAAAGAAGAAGGAAAGGATGGAGGAGGAGGAGGATGGGAAAGAGGAAGAAGAAGAGGAGAAGGAAGCAGAGGAGAAGAGGAAGGAGAAGAAGGATGGGAAGGACTAAGGAGAAAGAGGAAGAAGGAGAAGAAAGGGAAGAAGAGGAGGGGGAAGAGCAAGACGAATAAGAATTAATGAGTAGAATGACAGAAAGAGGACTAAGAAGAAGAAGAGGAAAGCAGAAGAGAGTGAAGAGGGGCTCTAGAAGGAGAGAAGGATAGGAAGGATTGAGGAAGAGGAGGAGGAGGAGGGAAGAAATATGGAAAGAATGATGAAGAAAAGGAGAATAACAAGAAGAAGGTTGGAAAAAATTAAGGAGAAGGACAATTAAGAAGAGGGGAAGGAAGAGGGTAATAATAGGATGGATTGAGGAGAAGGAGAAAGAGACGGAGAGCAAGCAGGAAAAGAGAAAGAAGAGAGAGACCATGAGAAGGACGAAGGAGAAAAAAAGGTGGGAAAGAGGAGGAGCAGGGGGAAGTAGAGGAGAAGAGGAAGGAGAAGAAGGATAGGAAAAGACTAAGGAGAAAGAAGAGGAGGGAGAAGAAAGGGAAGAAGAGGCAGATAAAGAGCAAAACAAATAAGGATTAATGAACAGGAGGAAAGAAAGGGAACTAAGAAGAAAGAAAAAGCAGAGGAGAGTGAAGAAGATCCCAAGAAGGAGATGAAAGACAAGAAGGATGGGAAGGACTATGGAGGAGAAGAAAAGGAGAAAGAGAAGGAGGATAAGGAAGGTTGAAGAGGAGGAGGAGAATAATGAGAAGAAGGTTGGAAAAGATTAAGGAGGAGGACAATGAGGAAGAAGAGGGGAAGTCAAGGAAGAGAGGAAGGATAGGATGGATTGAGGAGGAGGAGAAAGGGGTGAAAGAGGAGAAAAAAGAGAAGGAAAGCGAACAGGAAAAGCGAGAGAAGAGGGAAGAGCATAAGAAGGATGGAAGAAGAGGACAGTAAAACGGAAGAAGAAGGAGAAGAAGGAGAAGGAGAGGAGGAGGAGGAGAAAAGGAGGAAGATGAGAAATTGAAGGAGGATGGAAAGATTGGACAAAAGGAGGAGAGGAAAGAGAAGAAGGTTGGAAAAGATTAAAGGGAAGGAGGATGAAGAAGAGGAGAGGAAGACAAGCAAGAGAGGAAGGATAGGAAGGACTGAGGAGGAGAAGAAAGAGGAGAAAAAAGAGAAGGAGAGCAAGCTGGAAAAGAGAAAGAGGGAAGAGCATAAGAAGGATGGAGGAAGAGGAGGACAGTAAAAGGGAAGGAGAAGGAGGAGGAGGAGAAGGAGGAGAGGAGAAGAGGAGGAGAAGGAGGAGGAGAAAGAGGAGCAAGAGGAGAAGGAGAGGAGGAGAAGGAGAAGGAGGAGGAGGAGGAGGAGGAGAGGAGGAGAAGGAATAGGAGGAGGAGGAGGAGGAGGAGAGGAGAAGAGGAGGAGAAGGAGGAGGAGAAGGAGGAGGAGGAGAGGAGGAGGAGGAGGAGGAGAAATGGAGGAAGAGGAGAAATCGAAGGAGGATGAAAAGGATGGAGAAAAGGAGGAGAGGAAAGAGAAGGTTGGAAAAGATCCAAGGGGAGGAGGATGAAAAAGAGGAGAGGAAGACAAGGAAGAGAGGAAGGATAGGAAGGATTGAGGAGGAGAAGAAAGAGGCGTAAGAGGAGAAAGAAGAAGAGAAGAGCAAGAAGGGAATGAGAAAGAAGAGGGGAAAGCATGAGAAGGATTAAAGAGAAGGAGGAGGCTGTGAAAGAAGAGGAGGAGGAGGAGGAGAAAGCAGAGGTGAAGAGGAAGGAGGAGAAGGATGAGGAAGAGGAGAGAGAAGTGGTTGCCTTTGCATGGGGAAGCGCTTTACCTGGTTGGAGGCCCAGCTCTGCTTGTCTGTCCAGTCCCGGTGGGTGCGGACATACCACCACTGGATCTCCAAGGAGTAGGAGGGGGATCCGCTCCCGCGGAAGGAGCAGGCCATCTCCACGTCCTCCCCGGCCCGGGCCGTCATGTCGTGCGGGGTCTCCGTGAAGAAGGCTGTGAGGGAGACACAGAAGAAGCACAATGTGGTTGTGGGTCCAGAAAAAGAGGGTCTGGGTAAACTGGGAACTATCTCTCAGTCTGTTTGTCCTTGTCTTTGTCGCCCTGTACCATCTGCCAGATGGCAATCATTCAAAATTTGAATATCCCTGGTAAGGAACCATCCCCGGTGGCGCAGTGGATTAAACCCTAGTGTCGGCAAGACTGAAGACTGACAGGTCGCAGGTTCGAATCTAGGGAGAGCATGGATGAGCTCCCTCTGTCAGCTCCAGCTCCCTATGCAGAGACATGAGAGAAGCCTCCCACAAGGATGGTAAAACATCACAACATCTGGGCGTCCCCTGGGCAACATCCTTGCAGATGGCCAATTCTCTCACACCGGAAGCCACTTGCTGTTTCTCAAGTTGCTTCTGACATGCCGCATTATCATAGGATGCCTATGTCCTACACTACTAGAGAAATTATACTGCTTAGCTGGTATTGCACCACCTGACATCCGCCGGAAGTAGCAACCAATAGTTAAAGGACCAAGGCAGTGAGATATCAGCCATCACGCCAATGCTTTAAATCAAGAAATAGTTTTCTAAGATCTACAGAGATACTCGCAGGAACACTTCAGCAAGCAAGAGTCCAAAAGTGGCAGGCTCAAACCCAGAACCTCAATCAATGGCTGATACTAGATGAGAGACAACTTGGAAGGTGCTGAACGGACTGCGCTCTGGCACCAAGAGATGCAGAGCCAACCTTAAGAAATGGGGCTACAAAGTGGAATCCACAACATGCGAGTGTGGAGAAGAGCAAACCACAGACCACTTACTACCTGAGCCCTGCACAATGAACAACAACAAGTATTATGCCAAGTTTTAAAACTTTGTGTGTGCTCTTAAATACATTACAACTGTACCTCAGTTCGCTTCTGACACGATAAATAAATCCTCTCCTAAATGCTCAAGGAATTGCACGTACAACATGTTAAAATATCATAGATAAAGGCAATGGATAACCACACGGACCCTTTTATGTCATCAAAGGGGTGCAAATGCCTGGCCATGATGTTGGGAAGGACTTTTGAACCTACAAGCCTGGTGTTAGAGTGATGTGTAATGCATTGATACCTGGGCCAGGTACACAGGTGTGTCTCCCGACCAACTCCTGTGCATCTCAAGCTGTAATGAACAGCACAAGAGCGAACCCAGCCTGATGTTTTGGTCAGTTGACAATGGTACAAATCTGGGTTATTGTAGGTTTTTTCGGGCTGTATGGCCATGGTCTAGAGGCATTCTCTCCTGACGTTTCGCCTGCATCTATGGCAAGCATCCTCAGAGGTAGTGAGGTCTGTTGGGACGAGAAAAAGGGTTTATATATCTGTGGAAAGACCAGGGTGGGAAAGACTCTTGTCTGTTGGAGCTAGGTGAATGTTTCAACTGACCACCCTGATTAACATCTAGGTAGTGAAACATTCACACCTAGCTCCAGCAGACAAGAGTCCTTTGTCTCACCCTGGTCGTTCCACAGAATAAAACCTTTTTCCTAGTTCCAACAGACTTCACTGCCTCTGAGGATGCTTGCCATAGATGCAGGCGAAATGTCAGGAGAGAATGCCTCTAGAACATGGCCATACAGCCCGAAAAAAACCTACAACAACCCAGTGATTCCGGCCATGAAAGCCTTCGACAATACAATGGTACGAATTTCCCGTACACACTACTCCAAGCCAAGGCAAAAGAAGACAGGCTTTGTCCTACAAATGTCCAAGTCTGGGGTGAAATTCCATCTCTCCCCTTGCGTTCTTGTGCAATTAAAAACCCGGGACGGCCGACCAATTACAGAGATCCTCCAGCTAATGAGTGATCCCCTTTCAAATGATTAATCAATTAGCCAATTAAAATAAATGCTACAGTTACTCAGTGCAGGTGTTATCTTGAGAATATGCAATTAAGACGGCAATTGCTCTTGACTAAATAACACAGACAAGTCGCCTATTGTTGGGGAAATCATCTTCAGCGTGTCGCTGCCGCCGGAGAGAGATGGAGAGATGCAAGGGAAAGATGGGAGATAGGATTCCTCCGGCAGCGGAAGTGGCGCCTCTGAGCCGCTGTTCAACGCCCAGATCCTCTTGCATGACAACAACAACAGCGCAGAAACCCCAGGACCCTTGCTGTTGTGTGCCTTCAAGACATTTCCGGGCCACAAATATGCCATTGCTGCCACAGCCAAATGATAGTGATGTGTGAGATACAAAGAGCTGAGATCTTTGCTTGTGCTCATATGGTGGAAATGGTGGACACTCGCTGGAACACCTCAGCAAGCGAGAGTCCAAAAGTGGCAGGCTCAAACCCAGAACCTCAATCCAAGGCTGATACCAAATGAGAGACTCCCCCCGGGCACACAGAAGACTGGGCGACTTGGAAGGCGCTGAACAGACTGTGCTCTGGCACCACAAGATGCAGAGCCAACCTCAGAAATGGGGCTACAAAGTGGAATCCACGACATGTGAGTGTGGAGAAGAGCAAACCACTGACCACCTGCTGCAATGCACCCTGAGCCCTGCCACATGCACAATGGAGGACCTTCTTGCAGCAACACCAGAAGCACTCCAAGTGGCCAGATACTGGTCAAAGGACATTTAATCAACTACCAAACTCACAAATGTTGTATTTTATCTGTTTGTTTGCTTTGTTCTGTTAGAAATGTAATATAATTGACTGGTTGCTCTGACACGACAAATATATATATATATATGGTGGAAATCTATATGGTAGGCCCTTGGTGTCTCCTCACAACCTCTGAGGGTAACTAGCTCCCATAAGCAGCCTGGCCACAGATCTTTGGACCAATGGTAACCTCCAGGGCATCTTCAAGGGCAGCCCCAGTATGCTGATGACAATGTCTTCTGTGTGCATTCAGAAGAAGATCTACAAGCCACTCTAAACACCTTTGCAGAAGCATACGAGAAGCTCGGCCTGTCATTGAACATCGAGAAAACCAAAGTGCTGTTCCAGCAGTCACCAGCCATCCCCTCTCCAATGCCAGAAATACAGCTTCATGGTGTAACATTAGAAAATCTTGACTATTCCGCTACCTTGGCAGCCACCTCTCCACCAAAGTCAACATCGACACCGAAATAAAACACCGCCCGAGCTCTGCGAGTGCAGCATTTTTCTGAATGAAGCAGAGAGTATTTGAGGACCAAGACATCCGTAGGGAGACCAAGGTACTTGTTTATAAAGCCATTTTCCTCCCAACCCTGTTATATGCCTGCGAAACGTGGACTGTCTACAGACGTCACACTCAACTCCGGGAACGATTCCATCATTGCTGCCTCCGGAAAATCCTGCAAATCTTTTGGAAAGACAAGCGGAGAAATGTCGTTGTGCTGGAAGAAGCAAAGACCACCAGCACTGAAGCGATGCTCCTCCGCCATCAACTCCGCTGGACCGGCCACCTTGTCCGGATGCCTGACCACCGTCTCCCAAAGCAGTTGCTCTATTGAAAGACCCAGGGGTGCATCTACACTGCAGAATGGATTCAGTTTGATTGCACTTCAAGTGCCATCAGTCAGTGCTATGGAATTATGGAATTGTGGGAGTTCTAGTTTGGTGAGGCACCAACACTCCTCAACAGAGAATTGTGATCCACAAAGGTCCCTTTTCCAGGCTCAGCCCTGGAAGCAAATTCTTGGTTTTCTCTCCCCAAATGACTGCCTGAAAGCACTAGTTCAGGTGCCTGCTTCCCTTTGCTTTCCATGCGCCATCAGTATTCCCCGCCTGCCTTCCTCTCATCCGTCTCAGGAGTAACATGACAGGTGCGGAGCAGAAGACTCCAAAGGCCAGGTCTGCCTTGATCAGAAATGATCATCTGTCTCTGTTCGAGGAGCAAAATGTGGTTTCACCTCCGTTCCCTTTCCCTCTGCAAGAACTCTCCTGGGAAGCAGGGAAGCCCAAGGAAAGGGAGCCAGGGATCCCCATTGCAACAAACATACATACATATCAAATCCTTTAGGATTGGGAAGGGTAATCCCTACAATGCAGGCATGCGTTCATTGTATGCACCTGTGAGATTCTTTCAGTGGAATGCATTGGGCATCTATGTACTAGTATATGCTGAACAAATATATGTTTTATAATTTGGACTATTAAAACAGCCAGAAAGTAAGAGTTGTTTTAATTAAATTGTTTAACACAAACTGGGTTTTTGTTGGGTTCATCTCTGCCTCTTTAAAGGCAGAGCCCTGGCAACGTGACATTTGGATATGGTTTGGGTTTAAATATACCAACAACATACCGGAATAGACATCATTCCTTATTGTAGTAGAGGCATGGGCCAACTTGGACCCTCCGGGTGTTTTGGACTCCAACTCCCACAATTCCTAACAGCCGGTAGATTTTTGGTTAGGTTCATCTCTGCCTCTTTAAAGGCAGAGCCCTGGCAATGTGATATTTGGATATGATTTGGGTTTAAATACACCGGAATAGGCCTCATTCCTAATTGTAGTAGAGGCATTGGCCAACTTGGGCCCTCTGGGTGTTTTGGACTCCAACCCCCACAATTCCTAACAGCTGGTAGGTTTTTGTTTGGTTCATCTCTGCCTCTTTAAAGGCAGAGCCCTGGCAAAGTGACATTTGGATATGGTTTGGGTTTAAATACACTGGAATAGGCCTCATTCCTTACTGTAGTAGAGGCATGGGCCAACTTGGGCCCTCCGGGTGTTTTGGACTCCAACTCCCACAATTCTTAACAGCTGGTAGGTTTTTGTTTGGTTCATTTCTGCCTCTTTAAAGGCAGAGCCCTGGCAACGTGACGTTTGGATATGGTTTGGGTTTAAATGCACCGGGATAGGAATCATTCCTTACTGTAGTACAGGCATGGGCCAACTTGGGCCCTCTGGGTGTTTTGGACCCCAACTCCCACAATTCCTAACAGCCTACCGGCTGTTAGGAATTGTGGGAGTTGAAGTCCAAAACACCCAGAGGGCCCAAGTTGGCCCATGCCTGAAC